GGGAAAGAGGTTTACTCAGCCTGTCTTGGATGCACATGTAAGCGTGGGATGCACAATAGTGGAAGGATGGTGCTTTGTTTCCCTTTTAGTGATAAAGTTACTGTAAATAATTAGCTTTGGCTTTTAAGACTTCTAAAAGTAGATGAATACGACCCTTGGCCTGTTTTTTCATAATCTTTGTTTTAGACTGAGGAAAATGAGGTTACAAGAATTTCTCATCGCAATTACAAATATGGCATTGTTCTTATCCTCTTAAAACACTGCTCAGAGTTGATCTGAAATTGTTTTACAATCACTGCTTAAAAAAAAAAAACTGATCTCCTTGATGATCTATTCCAAAATGTGTTTCTGAGTGACAGGGACAGTTTGCAGGTAGATTTATTATGGTTTTTACCATCTGCTTTAATAAATGAGTGAGCAGAGCATTTCAAAATGACCTTTAATTCAATCTGTGAAATATGAGTTTGATTGTTCCAAGTGAGTTATTTGCATCAGACTGCTAAGGGTACATATTCTGGAAATAGTGATTTACCAGTTGTTTGGATGTCTATGCTTTTATTTGTATAGAAATACGCTAATATACATCAATATAATGTTTCCACAGAGCAGCAGCTTTAGACACAGCAGGACTTTCCAGGCTGTGGTGTTGTAGGCAGAGGTCTCATTGCTGACTTTGTTGAAAAGTACTGGATGAATAGTTTGCTCTGTTGCTTTTTAGTTGAAAAGAAATCAATAAAAGTAAATGTACTAGAAGAAATTCATAAAATCAGTGAACAGATAAAATGTTATTTGAAATGCATAATGTTTCATAATGGATTTATTTAAAGTGTGGCAGAGGTGAAGTGCTCTGCAGGCATAGTGACAGAATGTGGATTCCTGTTTCCATAATTGAAGTCCTTTTGTACTTATCTGTTGGGAAAAAATAGCAGGATTTTTTTAACAGATTTGGTTTCTATTAGTAAATATATTTATCTGTAGCTCCAGATACTCTGCCAAGTTTTAGAAAAAGAAAAGTTGGAAGGAGGATGCATTTTTTTTCAAGATAATTAAATGTTGTGACTGTAGATTTTACCTCCAGAGTGAGTAAAGTATATCTACATTAAAAAAGTTTTAACAGCTTACATAGTTTACAAGAGTTTTACAGAGGCAAAATGTGCTTAATCCTCAAGATGGGAGAGAAGGGTATGAAATATTATATTCCACTCTTCTTTTTTGAAGTGCAATGAACTGTTATTAATAGGTTGTAAAAGTACTTGCCACTAGTGGTCTGAACACTGTTGTGTGAGGTGTGCTCTTGCTGTTCCTCAGGTAAAAGTTTTGAGGTTTGAAGCTACCTTAACCTGTGGCTATACCCAGAGCACTGCAGGGGGATGAATATCAGGCTGGATTTCAGGCTTGGTTCTGCTCTGCAGGGCACCGTGCAGAAATGTAGAAAGCCTTGGAGCTCTGCTAAGTTCAGTCCAGTCCTCTGAATGCCACCAAAATCTAAATAATAAACAACAGTATCACCTGATAAAGCAACCCTGCTTTAAACTCTTGACCTCACTGGCAAACCGAGAAGTTTTAGAAGTTTTGTTTTTTCTTGGTACCCAGGTATGATGATCCACAGCTTTGTTTGTGTTGGAAATTCAGCTCTGCGTTTCTCTACAAGGCAGTTTAACTGTTGTAAAAGGTTGTTAGCCTTCATTTGACAGCCCCTCTGAGAAGTAAAATTAGAAGCATTTGGTAAATTGAAATACAGAGGTACCTACCTGTGATTCTCTCTGTCTCCCAAGGCACTTGTAATGGCTAGAGCTTTACTTTTCCTTAGAAATAAAAAGGAAAGCTTTCTGTGCTTATTTTTGAAAGGGCCTTTCTCTATTATTGTTATCACATTTTTCTCCTTGAAGGTAATGGATTAAAGGATTATTCTCCCCACCCCCCTTTTGCTTTCCCATCCTCTGCATTACAGAAATGGCATCAGATATTCCTGGCTCGGTGGCCTTGCCAGTGGCACCAATGGCAAGTGGACAAGTGAGAATGGCAGGATCCATGCCTTCCAGAGGAGGAAAGCGCCGCTCTGGGTAAGCCGTTTGGGTTTTTTGGGTCTGCAGCTGGAAATGACTGGTCCTGGAAAACTGAAAATGTGCCTATCTGTGTATGTTTATTATGTAATTTTTATGTATGTAAACATTACAGCGCTAGTTGCTGATGCTTTGTTTTTCTCTTCAATGTATCTGCTCTTCCTGCAAGATGAAACTTGCTGCTAAATGTATTGTTTGTTGTTTTGCATGCTTCAAAAGACTTTTAGGTTTGGCAAAGCATCCAGAAACAGATTTTGGATCCCGTGGCTGTTGTACATGTAATGAATGAGTATTGCCTACCTCTGGTTAATCTCAAAAGGATTTATTATGTGAATAAAGGTAGAAAGATGTGTTCTTACAAGCACGTGCAGACTTATCTAACTTCATCTGAAGTTTTTACTTGGAACCTCTTAAATAGAGGCCTTCTGTTAAAGATGTTTTCTTTATAGTCCCAGGTACAGAAATAGCACAAGCAGTCACTCTTCAGAGATTATGGTCTGTGATATTCCAGGTCTTGCTGGAAATGCAGCGTAGTCTGGTTCTGGGAGAAAGGGGCTGAAGCAAGATCAGCCCTTGCACTAGCTTGAGGGCTCTGCTAAAGAAGAAAATTTGTTTTATCCAACTTCGGAGGTTGGTGTGTTATGGGGATGTTTTTTCTGCACTAGATTGTTCTGTGGCGACTCATCCTCTGTGCTAGAAGAAAAGTGTAGCAAGAACGGTAGAAGGGCAGAATACTCCTCTAGTATTAACAAAAGAAAAAAAAACAAAACTGTTTTTATCAAAGATGGTTGATCACTAATAGCAGTCTTTAGGTGATGCTTTCTCAGAGATGTCTGATCTGAGAGTACCTGCAAAAGAACTTAATTAGTTGTACATTTAGCCCTAAATATGATGATGATATGGCTTAACAGAACTGTTAGTATCAGTGAAATCTTCCCTGATGGACACTTAGGGAGAAGACGTTATTTCTTGTGAGAGCTACTCTAGGGATTGTCTGTCCAGGTGTGTTGCCAGTTGTAGGTGTCTGCTCAAGTACCAGTGCTGGAGTCTCAGTCCTGGAGTGAATTGATGAGGGAGAAGGTGGACTTCGCCTTGGACACAGAGCTAAGCTGGTGTAACATGGTTGCTCCTTCAGACAGGACAATTGGGAGATTTACCCCCACTCAGTGTGCATAATACGCTGAGTTAACAGCATGACATTGGTCTGAGAAACTCCTGGAGTCTGACAGCCATCCCATTTTTATTTGGCACTGTTCAATGAAAAGGCCTTTTGAGACTTGCACTCCAAAGAACACACATACATTAACATCTTTTCATGGCTGCATAACTGTAATGGTTGGAAAACAAAACCAGTGAGAGACTCCAAGTCAGAAATACAATTTAATAAGAAAGAAGAAAAAAAATAAAATAAAATAAAAGCAGTAATACAAAGGAAAACCACAGACAGAGTCAGAATACAGCCTGATACTCTGTAGGTAGGGTGGTGGTCGCAGTCCAGATGAAACAGTGGTCTCGTAGACAAGATCTGGTAGCTCTTGTCCTCTGGAAATCCAGTGGGTAAGGCCCCCTGTGCTGTACTGAACCCCAGTTTATATCCAGGTGGGCGCACTTGGCTCCTCCCCCTGGGTGGAGCATCTCACAATGGGTTGATATCAGTCTAAGAGTCATGCAGTGGGTCCTTGATGGTCCATTAACAGAAAGAGCTCCTGGGGGGAGCTCTGTATGAGACATGGGGTGAGGCATGGATGGGCCCATGAACAGGGAGGACTCCTCCTGCTCGGCGGGAAGGTGTTACCCTCTCCCCTGACCTTGAACCTCTTTCCTTATCTGTTATAGCCTGGGGTGTGAGGGCTGTCCTGGGCAGCTGCTACCCATGATTTTCTTAACAGCCCATGAGCACTGACATAGAGAGTATAGAATACACAGTTTTGGTTCTACCCACATAAGGATACACTGGTCCCAGCCCCTGTAACCATGACAGTAACGTATATAAGCTTTTGTACTTTTGAGTTGCAGCAGTTGATATCTTTTTCGATCATAAACCATGTCAACTGCAAATACCAGTTGGCAAATGACTGTTACCAAGGGCTGATGCAACTGACTGTGAAATCTGATTATATTAAATAGTGACTTGATATTAATTGAAAGCTATGCCTTAACCGTTACATTTTAAGTATCATCATCTATTTGTGAGAAAGTGGAGTGGGGGGAGGGTGGGAGGAACATAAAATCAAATTATTTTAAATCTATTTAACATGCAAATTCAGTGAGTAAGAGTTAGTATAGATTTGCTGTTATGCCCAGATGGTGGTATTTGATCTGTGTGCCATAGCTCTGAACTAATGGCCCTTTTTGCCAACCCTAGCTGAGGGTGCTCTTTTTTTTCTTTTTTTTTTTATTGGGTATGTATTCAGACCTTGAAGGAAAGAATGCCTGCTGTGTCTAATTCCTCCTAGCTTCTCTTTGAACAAAGTTGCAACTAACACTTGGTCCTTTCATTAGTGTCCTGGTGATACATCTTTATACACCTAAATCCTTTGGCATTTTAGAAATGAATGCTTTGTGTCAAACATGAACGAATGTAGCTAGTGAACACAGCCATCTTTTCCAGCTCCAGTTATCTCTGAAAATTGTTTCTTTTCTCATAATTGCTGAGGCAAGCTGGCAGAATAATTGCTGTATGGACTTGAATGTAGATCAGTTTAAGCTCATTGGCTATCCAGAAGGTGTTTCTGCGCTGTTGGCATTCAGCTTCATTGACAGCTCAGAAAACTATTTTTCTTTTCTGTAAATTGTACAAACTACTTTATAGAAAGCAAGTGACAGCATAAGGTCACTTACTGCAGGGGTCAATGACTACCTTAGGTTAATGTAACATTGGTTCTTTATTTAATGTCTTTTTTCTTTAGGCTTGGCTGTCTTTGAGGATATGAGGCTTTCTCACCTTCCTAGCTTATCTGTACCTGGGGAGGGAGGGAGGGCTGGTGGGTTTTTTTTGGATTGGTTGGTTTACACTTGCATTGGGTTTGTTTCAGTTCAGCACATAATCTTGTCTGCTCTGACCTAGAACTGTAAGATCTGAGGAGATATGGGAATGAAGAGACCTCAGCCCACCAGCTTCCCTGCCTAGATGTAGCCCCTGATGTACCTATAGCCCCAGCCTCTCAGCTGCATCTGCTCCTGGTCATTCCTGGCTGCCCCCTTCCTTATGCTGTATAATCATGGCAAGCCATCTATTGGCATTTCCTGGGAATGATACACAATAATTTCATTGCAATGTTCAAATACTCTCCCATCTCAATTTTTTAACTCGTGCAGGACCACCTTATTGGAGGGGTGTTTTTTTTTGGTATGAAAATGTTTCTAATTAAAAATAAATAATTTTTAAAAATACTTTTGTCATGCTATTTATGGTACCCACTCATGTTGTGAGGAAAATACATTTTAATAAGTACCTCATACATCAGACCTTTTCACAATTGACATGAACGGTATGAAAGGGGAAAACGAGATTTATGCTGTCTCTTCAAAAGAAAAGTGCATAGTGCAGCTCTTTTTTAAAGTCTCTTTTTAATGGGAATTTTAAATGAAGATAAAAGATACTCTTTCTGAAACTTCTGAAATAACGTCATTTGTCTTCATGGAGGCTGCTTCTGCTGTTTTGCTAATGTGCAGTATATCCTATCTAAACAGAAGATTTTATCTGGCAGGGTACGAGGGGTTTGTTGCAATGTTATTTTTATGTGTTCTGCTAAAGCTTACAATTGATTCTCTGCCTTTCTTCCCTGTCTCTCTCTGTTAGACCTCACTGTAAAGCAGTCACGGTGATTCTGGCAGGATATTGGAATCAATGACTTTATACCTGAGATTTTTTACTCATGTTTTGAAAGTTTTTTTTTTTTAATTTTACAAAGTGAAATGTGAAATTAGGAAATGTGTTTATTGACAAAGACGGGATAGAGATACATTTGCTGTTGCATTTTTACAAATATTAATATACAGAAACTAATTTAGGTGGCTAATTTAGGAAGTTAATCTTCCTAATCTCTCTGTGTAAGAAGTGAAGAAATAGGTTCCTGCTTTTTGTGGCTCCCTGGAGGAGCCTAACTGAAGGGCTGGGATTTTGCCCAAGGAAGAGCTTGTCTCTTCCGCTGACTTAAGAAGAAAATCTGGAACATAAACCAGGTAAGTTAGGTGCATGGTAGACCCATAGGTCCTTTTGGTAATGACCACAGGAATTCTGCAAAGTAGTTGCCATCTGTGAAATACCTGGTAATCTGTGTGAAATGATGGACAATACAGGGCAAGCCTAAAGAATGTGTCATACTTAGAATCAATAGCAGTGAGGTAGATGATCCTTGTAGAAGGGAGGCTGGGAGTTTATTCTGCTCTACCTCTAGCGTTCTTTCTTTAGACTGGGGTAAAAGTCATTTATTAAGTGTACAGCTTTAGAACTTTATTTTCTTTAGCCTTAATTCCAGTCCTCTAATCCAGAGCCCCCACTGATTTCTTTAAACTTCTGACAGGCCTAACAGATACTATTTCTGATCATGTCACACTGTATTTAACATTTCCTTTTATTTGCTAATTTTAACAATGCAGATTTCTGTGGAGAATGGTGACTTATTACTTCATTTGTTTAAAATATTGTTTTGTTTGTATTCCTGTTAGCTGGTGAGCTACTTTTAGGAGGTTTGGAGAATATGAGCAAGGCTAGAATCTACAGTCGTTAACACCTCCAGTCAAAATATAAACTAAAATTGAGAACCACTGGCTTGAATGTTTATGTTGCCATTGCCAATATCATGATTACTGATTTGGAAATCTTGCTTTTACAGAATGGATTTTGATGATGAAGATGGCGAGGGACCCAGCAAATTTTCAAGGTGAGGATTGATAAGGAGTTGGCTAAATCACTGGCTTCTTTAAGTGGAGAAAGACAACTATCTCACTACTGATGTTTTAAAGTCAGTATGAATATGGCTGAAGAACTTGCCAACAACTTGACCTAAATTCTCATTATTGTTTTTATCAACTTCCTCAGCAAATTAGGCATCCTGGCAGAAATCTGCCTAATGTAGTTATTGGCTTGCATAGCTGACAAGTATGTGTGTCATAATCTTGCTCTGTAGCTCTGTCAAATGAGAAGATTTGTGATTTTTAGCTTATTATTTCAACTGCTGTAGATGAACTTTGGTTAGACATTGCTGAAGTTGTCTTTCTGCCACTGAAAATGAACTCTTAATTTGAACTTATTTCAGATGTTAGCTACTTGTTAAGACAATACTACAGATTCTAGAGGTGTGGATTGTTTTTTTTTAAGATTAAAGCTCATTATGTACCATTAGGTGTAACTGAATACTAAAAATTGCCAAAATAAATGTTAATTAACATGGAATATTTTAGGCTAGAAAGAAAAACATTATACCATCATTGCCATTTTTTCATCTTTCCTTTTTTTCTGGTCACACTCTGCATTTTTTTATTAGAAACCAAGCAGCTGCAGTGAGGGGAAGATACTTTGGGGCTTAGGGATAACTCTGCTGACTGTCCAAATTGTAACTGTAGCTCTACAGGAGCAGCCGTGTTGGAAGAGCTGTCACCACAGGGTTTTAGCAAGGTCTTCCTAGTCAATCTGAAAGATAAATATGTTGAAGGTGTATTGTCACACCATACCATAACCTACTAGAGAAGACCAGCAGCACCCCTGTTTAGCTGATGTTGTTTACAGAAAGGATATTGCAGGGTCTAGTGATCTGAGGGTTAGTCCCTTAAGGGAACAAGATTTGTGGTGAATGTGACCTGATTTGTGCCTGCATAAACGTCAGGGTTTCTAGGCATACTGGTGCAAGTGTGTTGGCCTCTCTTTTTATCCTGGCTTCAGCCTTTCAAAGTCTGATGGTGGGGAAAGCCAATAGTTCCGTTATTTTTATTGGAGAGGTATGCTGTGCTGTGCTTAGACTCAGCTGATTTTAGATGTCAGATCAAAATCTAATATTTCAATCTTAAATGCTGTAAAAACCTGAGATTGTTCTACTTTTAGAGTACAGAAAAACCATGCAGAGATGCCCAGGGCCGGGGTTTGGCATCCTCTTCTTGTTGTGCCCTCCTTTTAGGATTTTTCCCTTCTCCAGATTGCTCACATGACTGATTCTTAGCTTGTCTCAGTCAAAATTATTTGTTTAGCAAAGAACTGCTGTTTAAATGTTTAAGCTAACCCAGCTGGCTTTGACTGAAGTGCCTGAAGAAGCATGCACGCAGAGAGGTCAGCTGGAAGACTGGAAGGGGGAGAACAGTAGTTGGAGGCAGTTAACACTTGAGCCCAGCCAAGCAGACAAGGATGAGTAGACAAGTCCCAGGCTAGTGGGAGTACAGGAGGTAGTGGTGCTAGTATGGTACTCCATGTGAGGTAACCCACCTTGCTTCTCAGGCACTTCCAAGCCAGCTCAGGTATCTCTGCATGGCATCTCATTGTCACATGGAGTCCTGTGCATGTACTTCTCATGTAACAGCATGTGGCCATTCCTCATTCAATCTGTCTTTTTTGTTTAAAGTTGTTTTGGGCTCAGTCGGTTCTCTGAGCAGAATAGAATGGAATAAAGTGGTGTTTTCACTTGAATGTTTTGAGGGTGCTGGTGTTAAACACAGCACAGGAGGAAATACAGCTTAAGCTTTGTCTTAAGCATTTGAATGAGTCTTAATGAGGAAAGGAAATATGAAACCACACAGAGGAACTTGTACAGTTGGGGTACTTAAAATTAGTTTTAATTTGAGAAGAAAAAAAGAAAAAGTTCATTAGTTTTTTAGAAGATAAAAGATGCTCTATTATACAGTATTACTTTGTTAGCTAACACATGGGACTTTCATGGGCTGTCTGTTGCAATAAATTACGTCATTTTGGAACGGCATAATTCTAATAGAAAATCTCACTTGACTATTCTTGAGCAGTAATACTCTTCACTTGTAGAAAAACCATTATGCTTAATTTTATATTTTTGAAAACCTGCATTTTCTGTTTTGGAACAAGGAATTTGGTTTCTCCAGAAGTAAGATCTTTTTCAAATAAATGTGTCTTTTTGTAACTATGCTAGTAAAATCTAATTTCAAATGATTCATATGTTTTTAGGAAAGGGAAAGGAGGAACAGCATGCCATTTTTTAGTGGAATGTCACATTGCTGCCATTGTCTGGGACAGTGCTTCAAAAACAGTGAAGCTTTACTCCTCTGGGGCCAAAGTCCCATTGATCTGGATTTCCTCTGTAGTGTTGCTGCCAATACACTTCACATACCTGTTTGGGCATCTAACTGCTGTTGATTTGGGTTTTAGGGGTTTAAGCCAGTTTTAATTTTGCTTCTGTTGACCCAGCAGTTTCATCTGCCTGACTGACTTTTGCCAGTCTTCCCAACAGACGGTACAGTGGCTGTACCTACTCAAGCTTTTTTTCTGAAGGCATCCTTATATAATGCATTGCACTTCAGCGTGTGTCTCTGCCCTCCCATGTTATCTGTAGACCATCAGTGCCCTCTGCTGAATGGAGTGAGTTGTGGTTGCAAGCTGGAAAAGATACAGCTCTTTCACTTCCAACACAGCAATGAATATTTCATGAGCTGCTGTCGACAAAAGCTCAGTGGTGTTTTCTGTAATGGTGCTGGTTTTTAAGTTTTCCAAGCAGTAAGTGTATGTCAAAGTGTTTGCAAAAAGCCATGTCTCCAACTTTTTTAAGTATACAGATGAAGCTTTTGAATCAGCATGGCTTGGAAGTTTCATCAGACTCTACATTTACTTTGCTTTGTCTTTCTCATGCCCTCATTTTTCTTGCTGTTATTTGTAGTAGTTTGCAGTTGTGAACCTCTTTGCTTTCTGCTGTATGTTGATTATCATGCAATGCACAACCCGTGTGGATTTACTTACTATCTTTTGTTTCCAGGTATGATGGTGATCAAATCTCTGGTGATAAGGAAAAGTTTGCAAGGTAGGCGTGTTCTGTAGAGCTTTTCTGCTGAGAGAAAAAAAGAGGGATGTTCGTGTCCAAAAGAACTCAGTACGTGTGCCTCTAGCCTAGAGAGCTGGTTATTTTGTTTCTGGGTGGTAGGATGATCAAAGTATTTCTGACACAGAAAGAGTGGCCAGGCAGGAAAAAGGGAAATCAAGTATGTTTTGTCCCCATTTTTATTTTATATGATGCCATTCTGACTGATCAGAAATCAAGAGGGATGGCTGCTCCAAAAAGACTTAAAATCAGAAATACTAACCCTGGACCTAAGTGCGTTTGGATCAGCTCCCACAGTCTTCCAAAATTTAATATCCCTCCAAAATTTACAAAAAACAAAGTTATAAGTGACAGAATTAGGCCATCGTTCTGTATACATGTTTATGAATGCCAGGGTTCCTAGGGCAGACACTCTTGGAAGAGGAGCACAGCCTCTGTCTTTCTTTTAAGGGTTTTAATTTGAACTAGTTTCAGCATGGTTTTTTGCTTGAACATTTTCATGGCCAGTTGATTAACCTACTGTGACTTTTTAGCTTTTATGATTATAGCTGAAATGGACTGTTGGGTCGTCTTCTCTTCTCAGGAATTTTTGCAGTCTCTTTGTTTACTATTTATAATTGTTGTTTTCAATGTTCAGGAATATTAAAATAGCAGACAATGTAGTATGTATTTATAAATGTCAAATATATGTTGAATATTTGTGTTCTTTGTCTCTCTCTCTTTTCTTGATCACCATTTCTGTGAAAATGCTGAACTTAGAGCAGCCTTTCATCGTGTAAAAATGCATTTTTCTTCCCCTTGTCCATATTTATCTGCATGTATATGCTGACGTGTACAGGTGTGCTGTCACACAAACTGTTCTGCTTGTCTGTGTGTACGATCCAGCTCCCCCAGGCGTTGTTCTCTCCTGTGCAGACCCACCCAAATGCTGTTTATCACCTGTTTAAGACAGAAAGATTCATCATTGCAGTCTCATAGATAATTAAGTAGATAAGGACCTTAACCAAAGGGATTGGCTGTGATATACCAAATGATCGTGGGCTGTCGTTGCAGGCACCCACAGCTGGATTTCCTGGATATCAGATAGTAAGGATAGGCATTGGTAGGAGTAATAACTCTTCATGTAGCCTTAACAAGTGGATTTCTGGAGACAGTGCCTCATGGATGGAAACCTCTGTGTCTGGGAACAGAATACACATTGTAAAGCAGGGCAAGCCCATGCATTCCTCTGTTTCAGAAAGCAGCATGCTACAACTTGGCTTTTTCCTGCATTTTAAGAAAAGGCTCCATTATTAAAAGTAGGCAAAAAGTTTGCCAAGTCTAGCTTCTACTTGGATTATGAGTCTTTGTAAGAGTCAGTTCAGAAGAGTGTTGCAGTTTCTTTTAATGTTAAGTTATTGTACCGGTTGATGCTGGTGGACTCTCCAAGTGATCACCTCTCACATCTTGTTGGATCTGCCAGCGATCCCACAAGAAAATGCCATACACAGCTCATTGAAATCAGTGGAAGACGCTGCTTTGACATCTGAAGCATCATGTACTTGTCGTGTACTTGTATTTAGCTGCCATCTGACAGGTACAGTATGAGGAAAATAAGTGCTAGGCACTGAAGAATTCTAGGTCCATTTGGACCATTTCAGATGTAGATGTTGGTGTAATTTCTTAATAACAATCAAGCAACAGTGCTTTACAGTGTGGGAAAACTGAATTCCCAGACCTTTAGTTCTGAAAGGTTTTGGTGACTATCCATTTTGAGAATTCTCACATTTGACTCACCACCTCAGTCATATGTTTGCTATAAACGATGAGAACATTGGAGCTCAGCCCAAAGGGGGACAGCATCAAGTACTGTCATTGTTATTTCCCTACTGTGCTGTTCTTGAACATAAATTCTGATTTATGTCTGACAAGACAGATGTTTACTTACTGTATTTTGTACTCATTTTACTTATTTATTGGGGTTTTTTGTATGTACTGTTATACCATATATGGTCTCAGTCCTGCAGTCTGGTCCTGTAGGCATGTAGCATCTCCCTACAGGGATGTGAGATGTTCCACACAGCATTACATGACTGGAGATCAGCATTGTTGTGGAGTGAGTTTTTTTGTAAGTCAGTGCTGACACTTACTGCTGACCTGATCCAGCTGTTAGGGAGAGGTTTCCTCTACAAGAAACCTTTCATAAGCATATCCAACGTCTTGAGCAAGGACTGGTAGCTGTGAGACTCATCATAGCGAATTTGGGAATTTGGCTGGAGGTGGCAGTTGTCAGTTCCTCACATCTTTCTACTTAATTTTTTGTCCTTAAACCAAAGGAGATTAAACTGGTTAAGAGAGTAAGGCCACTTGCCAATAGCTAGAAATATGAGTTCTTTTCACAGCTATGGGCAATTCATGTTTATCCTTCTGTGGCCTGGGTTCTTTGTCTGTGGACTGAGGGATAACTGCTTAGCTTGGTAAAGCACTTGCTCTCCTGGGGTAAAAACAGCAAAATAAGAACGAATCATTAGGATTCGCTACCTCCAATTGACATTCTTACACTGATCATGTCTGCTTTTCTGTTGGTGTGGTGTTTCTTTGAACGTTCAGGGAGAATCACAGTGAGATAGAGAGGCGCAGGAGAAATAAGATGACGCAGTACATCACCGAGCTGTCTGATATGGTGCCCACTTGTAGCGCGCTGGCTCGTAAGCCTGACAAGCTGACAATCCTGAGGATGGCTGTTTCACACATGAAGTCCATGAGGGGCACTGGGAACAAGTCTACTGATGGAGCTTACAAGCCTTCGTTTCTTACAGAACAGGTAGATTTTTTGCAAATGTCTGTTTTCTCTGGTTTGTGGTCTAAGAGTATATGAGGAAATGACATGAGTAGAGCCTTAACTTTATCCTTCCCTGTTGTGTAGTAACTGGTACAAGCTACATATCCAAGGTGTGCATACAGACAGTTCTAAGCGTTTGGACTTGACTTTAACTGTACAAAGATCTCTCTCTCTGAAGCAGCAAAATGGAGGCTCTTACCATTGAGGTCTGTCCATGTGAAAAGCAAGTCACTTGCTGCCTCTCATCACTAGAAAGGAATTTTCGGCTCCACAACTGTTTTTTTCCCACCCTATCAAAGATTTTCTAAAACAGGTAAAACCAATCTGGAAAGACCTACCTGTCCCTCCTGGGTTTAGAGGAAGGCTAAAAATGGTTCAGTCTTAATGTCTAAGTTCCTGGCAGCTGGTCTGAGCAGAGATGAATCCCATCTGTACTGGTTGAGGTACTTCCTTGGTTACATTTTTTCATGGAAGAAGGAAGATGCACCCAGTGCTCAAAGGACAACTGTGTCCAGCTGAGTGCACTGATAGTTCCTACCACCTTCATTGTTTTCAGAGTCCCGTGGGGGTAATGTGCATTTTTGTGGTTTGCACGATTTAAGCACTTACACATGTAAGTTATGGCTAGAGGCAACACTTCTTTCTATTAGAGAAACAGCAGCTGCTGCTGACCTCTCAGTGTTCACATCTTCACTGACTCTGGCTCTCCTGACGTATGTTTCTGGAGAACTGTGCTGTTCAGCTGGTTGTTGGTAGGGCACCCTAGTCACTTCTCATAGCAACATTTTGGGTTTTTTGAACCTTGCAGAATGACAGTTTATGTTCATCTTTGTTAATAATGTATGCAAACAAGGTCTCATTATTCTCTCTTGTGCAGCCAGCTATGCAGTGAGGGTTTTTTATTGCCTCAGTGGTTCAGAATTGATGTGCTTTCTGTACAACAAAGTAGCAGAAGTTGATGGTCTGTTGAAATGGGTTATTAATTTCTTTAGTAAAATTTACCAGATGTTGAGCCTCACCTTATTGGCTAATATCTGCCATTTGCACACTAGACGTGCTGAGCTGTCTAACCTGGATGGGACTCAGATTGTCCAAAGCTCTCTGTCTGAGCCCCAGATGCAGTATCTTAACAAGCTTGGGTGGCCTCTGGAGCCACCAGTCAAAGGCTGTTCAAGCTTGTTTCCTAGAAATTGGGGTGGTGGTTAGTGTCCTTTCCTGTGAGAGGTTTTCAAGTTCTGTTTCGCAGAGGTGGTGTTTCTGTGTGATGCATACAAACCACTGTTTGCCTGTGCCATTCAGGGTACGGGGTGTCTAAACCCAGTGTCCCAAAGCAAGGGACACAATTACCTTGCCTACAGTTCCCCTTCCAATCCCAACTTGGGTGGGGTTGGGGCTCTGGGTGCTGCACCTCAGGTGCATGTGTGGATGTCTCAGGACAGAAGTACCCAGCAGGGGACTGTGTGAAGAAAAGGCTGAAGACAGACGTGTTACAGACCCTTGGGATCTTCGAGGCTTCATATTCATGTGCTGGAAAAAGAAAGCAAGAAGTGATACAACCTCCCTGCATAGTGACTCGGGCCCCCTAATGAGAGGGGGGCTGGGGATTCCTGTCCTTGTTCCCATTATACTTTCTGCCTTTTATCCAGTGCCTGTTTAGTTTACAAACAGAGCTCATTTGGGGGCGGGGGGGAACAAAAAAACAAACCAGAAAGACTTGTTGGTTTCTTTCCAGTTACATTATTCAGGATGTTTAATTAAGGAGTGAGTTTGCCATATGAGTTATAGCTGTCCATTTCCTCTGTTTGTACTCCAAAATAACTTTTTTAGTTTTTAAATGCTAGATGCCTATCACACAATATGTAGTGGGTTTTAGTTACTTAGTTTTCATAAAGTGCATTGAAATCTTCAGATGAAAAGCAATAAAGGAAAACAAAGTGGGTTTTGTCTTTAAGATCAGCAGTTTGTGGTTTGCTGCAAGTTTGGCTGTGTTGTTGTATCAATACGATGGTGAAAATTTCTGCCTAGGTTGTGATCAGCTACTAAGATCACAAGTAAACAATATTCTTTGGCAGTGACAGATGTGTTATTTAATTACCTTTCCTTGCTGACATTCTGATCAAATCCTTTCTTTGGAAGGAGCTGAAACATCTTATCCTGGAGGCTGCGGATGGGTTCCTGTTTGTAGTTGCAGCTGAGACGGGAAGAGTGATCTACGTGTCAGATTCTGTGACTCCTGTGCTGAACCAGCCTCAGTCTGAATGGTTTGGCAGCACTTTGTACGAACAGGTTCATCCAGACGATGTGGAAAAGCTGCGAGAGCAACTGTGTACATCTGAAAACTCTATGACAGGTCAGACATGTCTGATACATGGCTCTGTGTGTTACGGATCCCTGCAGAGTTTTTCTGGTGTTTAAAATGCCTGGGTTAAAAATCTGGTAAAAATGAAATTCAGCAAGATTAAACTGCATTTTCTTGCAGGCAGTACATTAATATAAATCTTCTTTTGCCTGACAGCGTTCTGCTTGATGTTTGTTTGACTTGAGTCAAACCACCTTCATGTAGCTCTGCATTCAAACTTCTGGCTTGGGTAGGTTTAGAGCCTGGATTGTTTTCAGGCTTGGGCTGGAAATCTGGATTGTTTTCCTTTCGTCCTCAATGAACTTGTGACTTCTTTACAAATATGTGTTTCTTTAGGGCAGTGTTTATTTTGAAGACAAAAATCATACTTTAGACTTTTCCATTTTCATAAAAATTCCTTGTGGTTTGCTAACGGGAATCCTGGTGAAAAAAGATCCAGTGTTTGGCAGCTGAAAATCTAGTGGATTTTAAATGGGAGGCTTTCTCCTGTAGCAGTGGTATAAGTTAGCTAAAAGATGACTATTTATCATTTTGTACATAAAAGTAAACCATATTCCTACCTTCAGGATAACTCTGGCTTTTACAGTTATACTCAAGAATGCCAATGGGAAACTACCACTGTCTTTAATAGGATATGTGTATGTTGGAGCTATGAGGATTAGCTAAATCCTGTTCTAACTCAAACCCGGAAAGGAGGAAACCCAACTTCTGATTCTTCCATGTAGTGTGTTTCTAGCTGAAGGAAAAAAGCTAGGGGAAAATATTTATAACAAAGTCCTGATCCATGCAAAAGACACGTAATTTCTTCTTGCTTTAGTAATTCAGAATTCTGACCTGGTTTGCTGGACGTTTTGGTGTGTTTCATAACTCAAAGGACAGTGATCCAGTTTTCAGTGAACCTGCACGCTGTTTACAGCTTCCATGTCAAAACAGTGCCAAATTCATGATTTCCTGTGGTTTGAATGTGATGTGGTTTTGGCAGAGCTGTCGTGTATTCAAACTGGAAACTCAAAGCAAAATTCTGTGGTGAAAATCCAGATGGATTGAAATGAACAGTTAGGGGAATCTGACAGAGTGAACCAGCTGAGTTTTATACCATGAGACTTGCAAAAAAGCACAACCTCTCTTTTTATTATGTAGCATGTAAAACATTTTAACGTACGTACCGTCTTCCTCCAAGAAGCAATTATTTCAGAGTCTTAGTGAACAGTCATGTTTTGACTTCCAAAAGTATGGGGCTTAACCTGCTCAAACTAGAGCAGGACTAGGCGAACACAGAGAGCTTCTGAAAACCCAGCTCTACTTTTTCCAGTTTTAACTGTGTGCTTTGCTTTTACACTGAACTCATCTGTAGCCAGTGGAAAGAGAAGTTCAAATAATAGTATTTATAGGGATAAATCGTTTCCTTGCCTGAGTCTTTTGGAGTTGTCAGATTGTCACAGGAGTCCTGTAAATCTGCTGTACATGGACAGCTGAACACTTTCCCAGTGTGATAAAAGCATCAGCCTGTTCAGAGCCAGTGTAGCCTGCTTAGCTATGCTCCTCAAGGTGCAGAGACAGGCTGGATGTAGGATACTTTTTAGGGGCTGGAGACTGTGTGTAGTTACAACTGTTCCAACCAAGTGTGAGTAAGAACAGTGTGTAACTGCTCCTAACTATATGGGGCACGTTGTGCAAGTTTTCAATTACAGTCATTGGAGTTATATATACAGGGCAATTTTTTGGCTAGCTGAACATCTCACAAGCCATGAACACAATCATCAGTCTGCTTCTGAATCAAGCATAGACATACAGTTGCATGCATGTACACCATCTCTCATAAGATCGTCTTCAAACATTTTTTTAAGGTGTCTGCTACATTTTTCTAGCTTTTTAACAAAGTTAGTGTAGAGCAAGTGACATCATAATATAGTCCTGCTTTCTGAGGAGTTTTGTTTTAAAGATGTGACTGGTGAAGTACATTTGTTTAGTTACTAGTACTTTTATCAGTTTGTTGAGAACCTAGATAAACAGAAAGCTCTGGATTTGTTATATTAAACTTACATTTCCTTGACACTGTAAGGTACCATTCAATACAAGCAGCAGTCTTTTCTAAGAACTGTTAGTCCAGCACCAATTTGCTTATAAATAGCATGCAGCAGTACCTGAGCCTCACTGTTATTCCTTTGAGATACCTTTTATGGCTGCATTTGACGTTTTTCCTGCTCAAAGTGAAGTTCACTGCAGGCAGCAGGAGAATCTTCTAGTGACCTCTGGCTGTTGAACACAGGATGTGCTTAGGGAAAAGAGTGGATTTGCAGGTGAAAGTGTAATGATATGTTATGATTTTTATTTTTCTGTCCTTCTCATCTTCTCGGGGTCCATCTTCTCAGCCATGTAACTTCCTTCAGCCCTTGAACTGGGGAAGCAACAACAGCATCTTGACAAAGGAGAAACTTCACTTCCCTTGCATCAGATCAGAGCAATGTCCTTTGGTTATATTTGTTTGTCCTGTTACAAGTGCTGGCCATTAGCACTGCATTACTGGGGTTTTCCCAGCACCTCTTAGCCATCCTGCTACCCAGAGAGGCTGCTCCAGACCCTGAGAATGTGGAAGGCTGCCACTGCCAAAGGGGAGTGACAGAGAACAAGCTGGTGGAGAAAGCAGGCTCCTTCTCACATATTTGCCCCCAGGGGTAAGACTGGGACTGGGGCTGTGGTTGCATGAGCATTTTTTTTTTGGCAGTCATACCAGCTTATGCAATCCTCACCTCAACTCACCCTCTCCTCCTTTGGCATTTATGTGGTACTACAATGAGTCACATCAAGGGGACCCAGACGAAAGCTAAGCTAAGCAAAAAAACCCTTGGTTTTGGTAGAGACAGCTCTTTGGCCCACCTTATTGTAGGGTGCTTGAACTCTTGTGCTACCACCAAGGAGAAGCAGATGGTCAATAGTTAAGAGTAAGGAGAGTAGAGAGCAGGATTTCAGGAGCAATAAAAGCATATGCCAAATTGAAGCGGCTGCTTAACTGTGGCCTAAACCATGTAGTACGTTTGGGGAGTTAATTGCTTGCTCTATTTTTAACTGTCAGGATATGGAGAAGGATGGATAGTTTCTTTTCCATTTTGTATCCTTTGAGATTTTAATCCCTGGAAATGGAACAATTGTCTGCTTGTTTATTGTACATTAATTGCAAACACATTGTAGCAACAGGAAAGCTGAACTGTGAAGTGTATGTATGGTTTGAAATGCTCTAGAAAAGATGGCATTTGAGACTTGAGGATAGCAACAAATAGTGCTCCCAAGAAGTCTTTACATGCGTCATAGTCATGATTAATCAGAATGGGGCAGATATTCAAAGTAATAATTTATTTTCCCTCTTTGTTCTTGGAAATCTGCAGATGGTAAAACAAATCATTTCAAATATGGATGAAGATCAGTTCCCACAGCAGGATCCGTTAGCAAAGACCTCTTTGCCCTTAGGATGCAGTGATGAAACTTGATGGATGCTGGGTTCAGATGCAGGTTCAGAGTTGGAAGTTGTGAAGGGCTGACTAGCACACAGTACGGTGGAAGCCTGACACAAGTGAGAACCTCTGAACAGCTGCAGACAGCAAATCTCTGGTGGCACAGAGAATAGACAGAACTTAAATCTAAGTGCCAGGGAAAGCAGCTTTTGAAGAGTACCTGTGCTACATTTACGCCCCAAAAAATGCCTGATCAAGTATTGCAGTAGACTCTTCTTCCATTAAAATGTAAAGTTCGAGAGCACTCTGGCAGACTGATTTTGCTAGTCTAACTCTCTGTAAGCAGCTTGGGAAAGCGTAGAATGAGGAATATAGATACCTCTGCATGGTTGCCTGAAGTACTCCCAAATGATTCTACGGCGTGTCTGAGATGTGCTTGTCAAGGCTGTGAGGTCCCTCTTCCTGCAGCCAGCATCTCCAGTGCTGCAAATGGGAAACGCCCAACTACATGATACTCAGTCCTGAGCTCCAAGCAGCACAGCACATGGTAATCCAGATGTAGCTAACGTCTTCCTCCAGCCTCTCTCTATAGCTAAGGCAGGGCAGGGAGCAGCATATGTAATCTCATCCATGGCACAAAGCCTCCTCAGGACATTCAGGATCAGGAGGAGTCCTTGTAAACTGTTCTAGATGAGTAGTTAAGAGGTGCCGAAATTGTGGGCCTGTGACTGCAAGAAAATGATGAAAACCATAAGTTCCACAGCTTTCATTTTCAAGCGATTTAGAAATGACTAAGTCAATTTATTTGCTAGCTGAGAAAGATTAATTGAGGTTACTCCTGGACAGAACTTGTATGCCAAGTTTAATCTTGGCATGGTATTTTATTGCCATATTTTTTAAGTACAAAAAAGCAGAACTTCATGATGGGAATGGTGACTGACCACAGCAAAAGTTGAGCTGATAGGTACCTTTTCAGAAAAGAAGACCATTGTGTGACAATTCACTGTGGTTCAGGAATATTATGGAAACATCACTTCGTGTTACACAAGCAGAGATTTGGATTGGGGAACCTGTCTCATAGAACCTTCAAATAATATGTTGTCTTGCAATAGTGGTTTCAGCACATGCAGTTTTCTGTCCAACTTCAAAGCTTTCTGTTACAAAACACTGTTTGTAGACAGCCACAAAATTCAGATGTTGTAGCAAAGTCAAATTGTCTGTAAAAATGAGAAGAATAGTGTTAAACTCAGAGGAGGGCAGTGCCAGAGACCAGTGGAGCAGCAAAGTAAAGCTTTCCACAGCACTGAACAGATGGGAAATGCTCAAAACACAGTAAATAACCACATGAAAGAGAAGATCAGGAATAACTTCTCACTACAGTAGATACTCTTCCTGAAAAATCTGTGCAGGAGTTTTTTGTGCTGTGAGTTGTCTTATACTTCTGTGTCCATTTTCCAACTCTGATTTCTACATGATCTTTCTTAGGAGAGAGGGAATTCTTCTCATACACAGAGCCAGCCAGTGAATGCAAATATGCTCTTC